ATTGTAATAGCAATAATAGGGATTACATTCAGTCTTCTGAGCCGGACGCAGAGAGACCCAGACGCTTGCAGCTGGCAAGGATTTTTCGGGAAGGCCTTCTTCTCCGGTTTCGTCCCATGTAAATAACAAGGGAGCCCATGCACCTGTTGCCTCGGAGGATGCACAAAGCAGCTCTGGTTTCGCACGAGTATTGCTTTAAAACCGATGAGCGAGGGCTCCTTGGAAGCAATGCTAAACTGGCCCCTCCTTGCATTCATTCCTCGACTGGATTGCCCAGAGCAAAGGGCACAGAAACCCAATAAATGGCCATGCTTTCGACAAGCCTGCAAAACAGGAGGTTGATAATATGCGGGGTTTTATAGCAAGGAAACTCAAGAGGTGGAATCTAAAGTTCCCCTTTGGCACACCTCTCTTGAGTATTGATTGCCTTTGTTTCCTTGTCTTCTTCCAGGGTTTTAGGACAATGCACTCAGGGATGGTCCTGTTTACCTTTGCAACACCCTTGTGAGGTTGGATAGGATGGCAGAGAACAAGGCTGGCTCTGCCCTGCAATATAATAGTGAATGTAGTGGTGCAACTATAGCAGGCATGGGCCAACTTTGGCCCTCCTTCCAGGTGTTTTGGACTCCAACTCCCACCATTCCTAACAGCCTCAGGCCCCTTCCTTTTCCCCCTCAGCCGCTTAAGCTTAAGCGTCTGAGGGGGAAAAGGAAAGGGCCTGAGGCTGTTAGGAATGGTGGGAGTTGGAGTCCAAAACCCCAAAGTTGGCCCATGCCTGAGCTTTGCAAGTGCAGCATTTCCCCGAATGAAGCACAGAGTGTTTGAGGACCAGGACATCTGTAGGGATACCCTCTACAATGCCAGAAATACAGCTTAATGGTGTAACATTAGAAAATGTTGACCATTTCCGCTCCCTTGGCAGCCACCTTTCCACAAAAGTCAACATTGACACTGAAATGCAACACCGCCTGAGCTCTGCGAGTGCAGTATTCTTCTAAATGAAGCACAGAGTGTTTGAGGACCAGGACATCTGTAGAGATACCATCTACAATGCCAGAAATACAGCGTGATGGTGTAACATTAGAAAATGTTTACCATTTCCGCTCTCTTGGCAGCCACCTCTCCACAAAAGTCAACATTGACACTGAAATACACACTGCCTGAGCTCTGCGAGTGCAGCATTCTTCCAAATGAAGCACAGAGTGTTTGAGGACCAGGACATCTGTAGGGATACCATCTACAATGCCAGAAATACTGCTTGATGGTGTAACATTAGAAAATGTTGACCATTTCCGCTCCCTCGGCAGCCACCTTTCCACAAAAGTGAACATTGACACTGAAATACAACACCGCCTGAGCTCTGCGAGTGCAGCATTCTTCCAAATGAAGCAGAGAGTGTTTGAGGACCAGGACATCTGTAGGGATACCATCTACAATGCCAGAAATACAGTTTAATAGTGTAACATTAGAAAATGTTGACCATTTCCGCTCCCTCGGCAGCCACCTTTCCACCAAAGTCAACATTGACACTGAAATACAACACTGCCTGAACTCTGCGAGTGCAGCATTCTTCCAAATGAAGCAAAGAGTGTTTGAGGACCGGGACAACTCTAGGGAGACCAAGGTGCTTGTTTATAAAGCTATTGTCTTCCCAACCCTGCTATACACCTACGAAACGTGGACTGTCTATAGACGTCACATGCAACTCCTGGAACGATTCCATCAACGTTGCCCCCGAAAAATCCTGCAAATCTCTTTTGAAGACAGGTGGACAAATGTCAGCATGCTGGAAGAAGCAAAGACCACCAGCATTGAAGTGATGGTCCTCCGCCATCAACTCCGCTGGACCAACCACGTTGTCTGAATGCCCTATCACCGTTTTCCCAAAGCAGCTACTCTCCACCGAACTCAAGAACGGGAAATGGAATGTTGTCAGACAGGAAAAGAGATTCAAAGATGGGCTCAAAGCCAACCTTAAAAACTCTGGCATAGACACTGAGAACTGGGAAGCCCTGGCCCTTGAGTGCTGTAGCTGGAGGTCAGCTGTGATCAGCAGTGCTGTAGTATTTGAAAAGGCAGCATTTTTGAAAAGGCATGAATGGAGGGTAAAAGAGAGAAATGTGCCAAGAGGAAGGCGCGTCAAGCCAAGCCTGACCGGGACCGCCTTCCACCTGGAAACCAGTGATGCAGATCTAGAATAGGGCTCCACAGTCACCTACATACCCACCACCAAGACACTTACATGACCATCATCCTCGGACCTTGAGGGATCCCCAACGTAATTAAGTAAGCATAGTCAGGTGAAAATGAAGACCTTGTTCTGCCCCGTAAGAATGTTGCCACTCTCCAACCCAAGTTTTCCTCCAATCCCCAACCTTCTAGCATTGCAATAAACTCAAGAGCATTTAGAAATTGCTGCATGTCAGTATATTTGGCCTGTGATTGTGTCTGATGTCCATGCTGAAGCTCACAATGGGAATGATGTTCATGTTGATCTTCATGATGGGAATGATATTCATGTGGATCTTCATGATGGGAATGTTCCTGATGGGAATGGGGATGAGGGGTTGCTTGGGCCTGAGCTGAGAACTGTTTTAGGAAAAGATTCACAAGGTCACATTCCCGAGAGAGGCCTTTCACCATTTTTCTCAGAGCAACTGTCTGAAAATGATGCTGAGACTGATTTGCCAGGTGCAGGAGTTAATGAGGGAGAGGATAGTGAAACCTTGGGCAGAAAGCAAAGTTTTAGTAAACGGAGGCAGAGCTTTCAGAGACTGGAGCGATCAGTCCGGCTACAGCAAAAGAGAGATAACAAATCATTATCTGTTGTTATTTTATCACAGTCTTTCTTTCAAGTGCTCTGAGTTTCATGTACCCAGTTTTTGCCAAGCTACAGTTTTGTTTCATAGTTTCAAGTGCCTCGTGTACTCATGGATCTTGCTTTCCTTTGAAGCTTATGGACTATCTTGGATTTTGGATCTTTACTTCTTTTGCTATTTCTTACTCCTTTGCCTACATATATTCTACAATAAACTGCTTGCTGATTTTACCAAGTTGGTGTTGTGTTTAAGGTCAGAGGTGTTCCTGCTCTGGAGGTTGGCAGTTCAAGCCCAGGTCAGGTTGAGCTCCCATCATCAGCCCAGCTTCTGCTCACCTAGCAGATTGAAAACAGCAATGTGAGTAGGTAAATAGGTACCGTTTTAAACAGGGAGGTAATAAAACGTGCCCATAAGGACATGTCAACAACTCAATTGGAGGACGTCTACAGACAACAAAGATCCTCGGCATGGAAGGTGGAGCGACACCGCCAACCCATGGCTGGAGTCGAGCACAGTCTCCAGGTGCCGGAGATGGAAAAAAATGGGAAAGCCTTTGCTTTGAAGTTTATGGACTATATTGGGACTTTGGATCTTTACTGTTTTGCTATTTCTTACTCCTTTGCCTACATATATTCTACAATAAACTGCTTGCTGATTTTACCAAGCTGATGTTGTGTTTAAGGTCAGAGGTGTTCCTGCTCTGGTGCATGACAGAAATATTGTTTAGGCAACCAAAACACCGAGGAAATGAGATCCCTAGAAATGGAAGTGTCTTTAAGTCTGAATGATTTCTCATTCTCCGCAATGCCAGAAACCTAGAGCAGGAAGGACACTTCCATTTCCCCGAGGCAAATCTCTTATTTGGGGGCAATGCCCTTGTTTCCTTTTCCGCATTGCTAAAACTCCTCCAGGCTCAGGTTGAGTTCTTTGAGAAAACGTTGTGGCTGAAAGCTGGTGAGAGAGTTTCATAGATATTATCAGACCTACAAGGTGTGCATATTTGCATAAAATGCAAATGATGACATACACAAAGCCTGCTCTGCTGTTAAGCTGATACTGGGAGCATGGGATTGTTGGGCAGATCTGGTTCAAATAGCCTTCCCCTTTAAGTATGGGACCCAGACAAGAACCACTTCTCTAGGGCTCCATCTATACATGCATTTTGAAATGTTGTGTTCCTTGTGATTTTGTTTGGGGAAGGAAGAACTCTTCCTTGAGTCTCTGTGTTAATAAACTGGTCATAAATCAAGAAATCCTGTGTGTCTCTGCTCAAAAATAAGTCCCGCTTTGTTTGAGGAAGAACTGCATGACGTTGGTGCAACTCCTGAAGTTGTAGCCTTCTAGCAGCATGGATACGAGAGGACGCAGCAATGATGCAACTGGAATTTTGTGGAGTAAGAGCTCATCTGTAAAAGGGGAATGCAAGCTTTGGAGGCCCCTTACGCCCTTATATGTAACCATCCTGGGTGGAGAGATTTTGGGCAAAATAAATTGCAAAGGCTGCTCGGGCACATTCATATCCAGACTTACTTACTTACTTAGGCGATCCCTTGTTGTCTGAGTAGGATAGTCCTCCAAGATCGGTGTCCTGGCGGTGGGTCTGTATGTGGCTGTAGAGCCCTATTCTTGATCTGCATCTTCTCCCACAGTGAGAGCATTGGTTTCCAGGTGGAAGATGGTCCCGGTCGGGGTTGGCTTGATGTGCCTTCCTCTTGGCACTTTTCTCTCTTTCGCCCTCCATTCGTGCCTCTTCAAATTCTACAGCACTGCTGGTCACAGCTGACCTCCAACAGTATTCCGGATATATAAACTTCACTTGCCTAGTTTCCAACAGACCCCACAACCTCTGAGGATGCCTGCAATAGATGTGGGAGAAACATTGGGAGAGAATGCTTCTGGAACATGGCCATACAGCTTGGAAAACTCAAAGCAACCTGATTCTGTTTAGCTTCCAAGATCAATCAAGATCTGGTGCCTTCAGGGAATTTAGGCTTGAGAAGGTACATACCAAGCACCCCACAAAATGCACTTTGTGGACTTAGAAGGCCAAACTGAGCTCTCCGATTCATGCTTTTGGCTCTGCTCATCCAGTTGTCCTTGCAGGCCTTGCTGGCTCGAAGGAGAGTGGTGTATTCCTGACATTTCTAACAGCTGTGTTCACAATTGTTGGAGACAGGCTGCCTCTAAAGCACGGAAAGATGCCTCTTAGGTGGCATGTTGATATGGCGTTGGGGTCGTCCTGCCTGCGGTCTTGGCGTTCCACAGCCAGATGGTCTATTTCGGTCCTTATTTTATCACGTTCTCCTCCTCCTCCCAGAGGAATCCACTCCGACGAAAACATTGCAATCTTGACGCAGCCTTTGGACCGGAGAGGCCAAAACAGGGAGCTCGAGAGGTCCATTCCTCCTTGGGAAGACCATGTCTGACCGAACCGTCCCTCACGCCCACCCCATGAGCGCAGAATACGAGTTCGCCAACCCCAGCAAGATTTACGACCAGAATTTTGCAGAAGGTAAGATGAGAAAGTGCAATCTGGATAGGTTTCCGTTTTATTTCCTCTGTTTGGAGATGCATACATTTTTGTAGCTCCAATGTTGGGTGGATGCTTCTCATTCTGGGACATCTCTGGGTGATGTGGAGTCGTGAATATCCATCAACCTCTATTATTCAGAAATGAATACAGAATTGTAGAAATATCAGAATGTGTTTGAATGGAATATATGGGAGAATCCATCACTGGAACCACACTTTTGACACCTTGCTTTTGTATCTAAACATGTTGTGGGCACCAGGAATGTGGCAAGAAGAAGAATGTGTATTTCCAGTATTGGAAACAATGTTGTTTTCCAAACAGACCCAACACTCAGGTCTAAACTTCAAGTAAACATCCTCTCTCAGAAACTTATATTCTTTCCATGGTGCCACTTTGTTGTCTTCCCAATCTCCTAGACGTAACATTCTTGCTACATATTGTGTATATATGTTTGTTATGTTGCCTAAATGTTGCATACTTTATATTAGAAAACCAACAATTTCCACATTTAGATTCTTTTAGAACTGGTTGTTGGACCTCATCCTTAATGAACAATTTCTGTTGGAGCATGTACAAAATCAGTTAGTGTGTGTGTGTTACTCTATATAAATAAAAACGTAATGTTCGTTTGTGGGATTAACAGAACTAAAAAACCAGTGGGCGAATTGACACCAAATTTGGACAGCGTACACCTAACAACCCAATGTATGTCCATCACTCATTTGGGAGTTGTAGTTGCTGGGATTTATAGTTAACCTACAATCAATGAGCATTCTGAACTCCACCAATGATGGAATTGAACCAAAATGGCATACAGGACTTCCATGACCAACAGAAAACACTAGAAGGGTTTGGTGGGCATTGATCTTGAGTTTGGGAGTTGTAGTTCACCTACATCCAGAGAGCACCATGGACTCAAACAATGATAGATCTGGACCAAACTTGGCACGAATATTCCATATGCCCAAATATGAACACAGATGGAGTTTGGGGGAAATAGACCTTGACATTTGGGAGTTGTAGTTACTGGGATTTATAGTTCACCTACAATCAAAGAGCATTCTAAACCTCACCAACGACAGAATTGGGGCAAACGTTCCACACAGAACCCCCATGACCAACAGAAAGTACTTAAGGCCATCCAGTCTAACTCCGTTCACCAGGGCAAGAAAACAGGGCAAGAAATACTGTTTACCCGCAAGCATAAAGAAATTACATATATTAGAAACCAACACATTCACATTACTTTATTTTCCAGATCACCAGACTGGGCCACAGCAATGCGTGGTAGGGGACGACTAGTCTATATAAATAAAAAGGTTTGTGGGATTAACATAACTCAAAAACCACTGGACGAATTGACACCAAATTTGGACACAATACACTTGTCAGGCCAACGAATGACCATCACTCATAAAAACACTGAAAAACACAGCAAAAGAGACTTAAAAAGCCAAAAACTGAAAAATACATTACAACACATGCACAAAGCCACATATATACAAATATATACACATACAAAACACATATACACAGATTGGGACACAGCAACACATGGCAGGGGATGGCTAATTATAAAATAAGATGCATGAAGCTGATTAGTTGGACCATGTTTGGACAGCTAGCTGAGCCAGGGTCTTTTGGCTACTGTTACATTTTTCAGGCTTGAGCTATACAGGTGCTTGCAGAGAAGCAAAGAGAAGCAGACCATGAGACAGAGTTTGGAGTGTGCTCTTGCTTCATGAGCTGCTGAAGGAGTTTATTCACATGGATACAGAAATACCATTTTAAATCTCTCATAAAAGGACATTATGTGAGTCGATGCAGCTGATCGCATAATTGTAAATATGTTGTTCTGAACTGCGAAGAGTAAACTACTTGTTTTTTTCCTGTTCATCTGTGTGGCATATTTTCTTTCTCTGGCAAGGAGGGTGTGGGCTGACCAAACGTGAAATATGCATGATTTTCATTTCGTCACAATTTCTGGAAATTTCATTTCTCATTAAGTCCTAAAACAGGTCATTTGTTTCAGATTTCAAATCAAAGCCAACCTGGTTTATAGCTTATAGCAACTAAAATCTTGAATCATAGAATCATAGAATCGTAGAGTTGGAAGAGACCTCATAGACCATCCAGTCCAACCGCATTCTGCCAAGAAGCAGGAAAATTGCATTCCAAGCACCCCCGACAGATGGCCATCCAGCCTCTATTTAAAAACTTCCAAAGAAGGAGCCTCCACCACACTCCGGGGCAGAGAGTTCCACTACTGAACAGCTCTCACAGTCAGGAAGTTCTTCCTAATGAAGATTGAAGTTGGCCCATTCCTGGTCAAAGAATTATGCTATTGTCACCAGGATTTGACTCTTTTCTTCAGCTTCTTTGCTTGGAAATCTGCATGAAAGGATAGGCAATGGCTCCACATCTTTGGGCAAAAGTTGTCCAAATCATACAGTTTTCTGGGTTTTGATATTGCAACTCCTTGCATTCCTCATCACTGACAAGGCTAGTTACTGGGGCTTCAGATTTGGGGTCCAACTTGGAAAAGGAGAATATGTCACGACCCTCAACTTCTGAAAACTACAGCAAACGCCCTACTAAACAAGAACGAGATCTCTTCCAAATGTACCCATCGTCTGCTGATCCGGGACAGTTTGTGGAACATAGTTGGCAGGGAACAGCTTTGGGGAAATGCTGCCAAGTGGGGATTTTTCCTTATTATTTTTGGGAAGCCTAGTTAAGCGACGAAAAGCTGAGCTGGTGAGTTGTACACAAAGGCCGGCTGGGAGAAGAATGCCGAAGGCAGCAGTAAACAGCCCGGCTCCCTTCAAGCACCATCCGTGCCCATGAAAAGGGGAGAGCCCCCTCCGAAAGAGGAGAGGTTGGCATGGCATGAAAGGGGCTTTTGTTCTTTGTGCCAGTCGAGCAATCCCCTTGGCCAGTGGCCATGGCCAGCCTTCGCTTTGCTTGCTGGAACCAACAGAAAAAGGGGTCTGACCAGAGCGAAGGCGATGCTTGTAGGCTCAGAAGAGTGACAGCGGCAACAGTGGGATATATGGGGGACGGCAAGGTAGAAAAGGGGGGAAATCCAAGATTAGGAGAGAAGGGGAAAGAGCATACTCAAAACCACCATCAGAAGGACTCCAACATCTACAAAGACTTTCCCAAGCTTTCGGAGCTTGGGAAAGGTATTTCTTGTTTTGGAGTAAAGGCAAGATGGTGTCCTTCAGCTGATGGTCTCAGACCCCTCCAATGAAAAGTGCGGCAAATGTGGGGCAAAGCAACATCAGGCTTTGGTCCAAAGGGCTAAGCAATCACAAGTCCAAACGTCATTGGTTATCTTTTTCCTTATGTATACCCTGCTTTCCTCTCTTAAAGCGACTCTCAAGGTTATTAAGGAAGGACATGCTGTTGACGTAAAATAATAATGAAAGATTCAGCTGAATGGTGATCTGTTTTTGTGAGCCTGATCAACTCCATCTTGACAACAGCTGATGTATCCCTATGACTTGTATTGTTTGATGAACTCTTCCATTTGTGCTATGCTAGAAATGCTCTGACTGCAAAGCTATGAGTCCAGGGCCAACCATTGGAAGCTATGGCTACATAGAGTGCCAGGTCTGTGGAAAGATCTTCATCAATACGTAAAGTCTTAATATAATCTGGTCATAGAGAAATGAGATACGGATAGCCACATATGCATTAGATATTGCTCATGTGCACTCATTCTTTATGGAGCTCTGAAGTTCTATAAAATATTGATGCTCAAAATAATCTCCAGCTTTTTCAGCCAGCATTGTGAGTAGGTTGAACTTAACACAGTGGTGGGATTTGGTAGATCCTTTAGCCTAAGTTATTGTCTGTTATCTCTTTGCCTTGCAGATCAGTTTTAGGGCTCATCCTAGCTCTGTGTCTCACTGGGAGAGACAGTAGGGTTGTTGTTGTTGCTCTTGTTACTCTTCTTCTTCTTCTTCTTATCCATCATCTTTTCCTTCTCCTCTATTTCATCTCCTCCATCTCCATCTTCTCCTCCTTCTCCTCTTTCACCTCTCATTCTCCATCCCCTTCTTCTCCATCTCCATCTCCATCTCCATCTTTATTTCCTCCTCTTCCTCTTCTTCTTCTTCCTCCTCCCCCATCATTTCCATCTCCTTCTCCTTCTCCATCATTTCCTTCTCCATCTCTTTCTCCTTCTTATCTTCTGCCTCTTCTTCTCTTTCTCCGTCTCTTTCCTCCTCCTCCATCTCTTCTTCCTTCTTCATTTCCACCTCTTCTCCTCTTCCTCCATCTCCATCTCCGTCTCCTTCTCCATCATCTCATTCTCCTTCCTCCTCCTCCTCCTTTCCTTCTCCTCCACCTTCTCCTTCATCCTCCTCCTTCACCCCACTTTGATTGAGACTCAAAGACTAACCTTCCCTCCCTTCTCTTTTTCTCAGGCATTTCTGCAGGTGACATCCTGGCCCCCACTTTGTACCATGGTTACTACATTCGGCCCCGGATTAATAAGCAGCTAGACCGGGGCATCTCAGAGGTCAACCTCAATGACCACAAGTTCCAAGTCTTCCTTGATGTCTGCCACTTCACGCCAGATGAGGTGGCCGTCCGCACTGTGGACAATCTCCTGGAAGTGACTGCACAGCACCCGCAGAAGGCTGACCGCCACGGCTTCGTCTCTCGCGAGTTCAGCCGCACCTACATTCTCCCTTTGGATGTCGACCCGCTCCTGGTGAAGGCCACTTTGAGCCATGACGGCATCCTGTGCATTGAGGCCCTGCGGACGGGGAGGGAGGTGAAGGCCAAGGTCAACGAGGTGAAGATCACACAAGAACCTCCACCGGAGAAGAGAGGGAGCGCCGAGGAGGAAAAGAAGCAGGACTAAGTCTTCTTGGTGTCCACCAAGAGCCTGGGATTGCATTGCCTTCTCAATGAGAACTTGGTTCAGCTACAATGTAGAATCAATGTAGTTTGACACTACTTGACCTGCCATGGCTCGATGGTGTTTGTAGTTTGATAATGCTTTCGCCTTCTCTACCAAAGTGTGCTGGTGCCTCCCCAAACCACAACGCCCAAAGCATTGCGGTACGGTGGTCAAAATGGTTCAAAATTCATTCATTCTACAGTGTAGATCCACCCTCAATTTCCCACAAAATAAAGTTTCCTTCATCCCTGCAGAGATGTCAAAATTGATTCACCTCTCAAGCTGCAGTGCTAGGAATTTGGGGACTATCCCACTCATTAATTGTGAATTGGTGCCCTTGATTACGCTCATAATTACATTATTAATCCCAGCAAACAACACAGATACCTTTACACCTCTCTTCTTGAAACATTTAGTTTCCGTCTCAAAAGACATTGTATTCCACCAGGTCTTTGTATTTCCCCTCCATATTTGATCCAGAGATGGATATTATCTTCAGAGCTATATAATTTTCACTTGTGAAGATGAGCTCTTAGAACCTGAAGGCTTGCACACGCTTGTGACATTTTAGTCATCCAAATAAAGGTATATCCTAACTCTGATTTGGGGTCCTACAAACATATATTGTTGTTTTATTACAGTTTAAGTGTCAAAGTGTCCTACGAGGAAGGAATTCTTACAGTTTGATTTAATATATTCTTGTGGATACCCCCAACTTTCTGTCTTAGGACTACAGTTCCCAAGACTTCAGTGGAAGAAGAGAAGGCTGCAAACCTATTGCCTTTTATAATACGAACAAACCCACAACAATTGTACTACAACATCCCTTCTACTAACCACAAGTATTAAAAATGCTCCTCTGTCGTCAATGGTCTTCCTTTTGGTCACTTCCTGTGTGCATGATAACACATGGGATGTGTGGTTCCTTTTGATATGTGGTTGCGCTCAATGGCCAACATGGTACAGTTGCAATTCGTGTATTATAAACAATTACACAAATACACAGTATGACACAGCAAAGGAGATATATATGCTTGATTTTGTATCACAAAATCACAAGTCGAACACTTCCCAAGTGTTTAGGACTGTGTGATGTATTTTCGAATGATGCGCACAGATCCAAGTAAGGTGTCCTTTTATTATTATTATTATTATTATTATTATTATTATTATTATTAAAATATTATTATTTCAGTTATTACTATTTTTTTTATTTTGTGTATTTTTATTTTTTATTTTTTTATTCTATTATTATTGTTGTTGTTGTTGTTATTGCCCACCTTTCTCCCTTGACCAAGACGAATTGGTTCAAAGTGACACAGTTGAAATTCGTGGCATGTTTGTGAACAATTTTTTTTATCATCATCTTCTTCATACTTGACTGAGTGTCAATGTGGCTCCAATTAATTAAGAAACATGCAATATTAAAATCCTCAAAATATAAAAATTAGAATTAAATTCACAAGTGAGTTAAAATCACTTTAAACACTGAGAAATTGTTATAACGGTTGCCCTCCAGGCCTGGAAAAATCTATAATAATAATAATAATAATAATAATAATAATAATAATAATACTTTATTTATACCCCGCTACTATCTCCCCAAGGGACTCGGTGCGACTTACATGAGGCCAAGCCCACAGCACATTAATAAACAAAAGCGATAACAATCAATACAAAACGGTTAAAATAAAACTCAAAAACAAGAAATACACAATAAGCAATAAACAATAACATACAGCATTTAAAAACCTATGGCCGGGCCAAATGTAATAATTAAAATTTAAAATGCTGGGCATGAACAAGGTAGTGTAAACTAGGATGGGGTTTTTAAAAGAAAGATGAGGGCACGCAGACAATCCTAAATCAGTATTAAAGTGCATTTGAGGACATATTGCTAAGAGTTTTCCTTATTCTGATCACCACATCAGGCAAGAATCCAGGAATAGAAATATAAAATCATAGAATCATAGAGTTGGAAGAGACCTCCTGGGCCATCCAGTCCAACCCCATTCTGCCAAGAAGCAAGAATATTGCATTCAAATCAGCCCTGACAGATGGCCATCCAGCCTCTGTTTAAAAGCTTCCAAAGAAGGAGCCTCCACCACACTCCGGGGCAGAGAGTTCCACTGCTGAACGGCTCTCACAGTCAGGAAGTTCTTCCTCATGTTCAGGTGGAATCTCCTTTCTTGTAGTTTGAAGCCATTGTTCCGCGTCCTAGTCTCCAGGGAAGCAGAAAACAAGCTTGCTCCCTCCTCCCTGTGGCTTCCTCTCACATATAAGCAAACAGTTTGTTGTAACACAGATAAAAAGCATATGAAAAAGCAGGAGTAAGAAAAGAAGATATATCATCCAAAAAGGTTCAGCAATAGATGATAACCAAACAATAATCCAATTGTCTCATAAAGTTCCAGAGGCAGCAAAGTCCAGGAACAGCCCAAAATCACAGGCACAGTATAAGCCCACAATTGAGAAAGCGTAACTAGTAAAAGCTTGAACAGGAACATAGAAAACTTCTAGGATATTAAAATCCAAACTCAAGGCTTGACTTGAACCAAGAACAGGAGAACTCAGGCTTAGCTTCTCAGCGTTACCTGAACTGCCCATAATGTAAACAACTTGTTGTTTAATAGCCACCCATGAAAGCATTATGTCTCCCGTGAACTTTCTCCCCAACTTTCCCACCTAATCTTTCAGCCTGGTGTAAACTATAGTCAGCTCTGATTTGTAAACAGAGACTTTTGTTGATCTCTGCAGCTACAGGTGATGCAGAGCATCTTCCCCCCCCCCCCTCAAGTATTTGTAGTTCGCCAAGGGCCGGACAATGGATTCTGTTGCTTCCTGACCCAGCACACATAACTGGGTTCCTGTTTCTTCTTTGTGAATTCTCTGGCTTGTGCACTGGACCCTGGCCCTTGATCAGGGAAATGTAGTTTCCAAAAGGACATTGCCCCATTGAACACAACCCGGAAGCCCCTTTGGACTCTCCTGTTTGCCCTCTCCTATTGACTTTCTGCTCCACATCCCGGACTGTTTTCAGCCACATTTTGGATATGAACCTTCAGCTCAAGACTTGCTCCGAATTGCAAGCGGCCACCACCTCCGTGTGCCTTCGCCAGGAGTCCATGGATTTCTTTCTATAATAAAGTGACTAAATATTCTTATAAATAAACTCTCGCTGGGGTTGGGGATGGGATTTGCCGCATGAAATGTATAAGGTATATGAAATATGTTATGGAATGAAATATGCTTAGGTTCCCCTCCCCGCATTTCCTCTCTGACCCTTTTTGCCCCAAAGGAATGTGACCCAAGGATTACTGCAACAGGGAGGAAACCCTTTGTCCTCCCAAGACAGTCCATATTTACATTTGCATGGGCCGTGCTTGATCCCATCTCGAGGCTCATTTTCAGAGCAGACAATGAGATAAGAGATGGGTCAACAGAAACTCCGGTAGAAAGATTGATTAACTCAATTTTTGGTGTTTGTTGAGCTCCTTTGTCTACAGGGCCCCTTGTTTACAGAGTTTTGAGATCCAAATGCCATCAACAGCCCCTTTTCATATTTTCTCTCAAATCCTATCACCGGACCAGGAAATTCTTTGTCCCTCCTGCCTGCCACCCCGCTGATAAGAACAAAGGCTCGGAAACAGCTGGCAAGTGCCCCCTGGGCACTCCGCTTCCCCTGAGCTGTCAAACTTCGTCCCGCCTCCTGGCCTCTGATTGGACCATCTTCAGAGGCGCTAGGGAGGCTCCGATTGGCCCCTAGAGGCGGCAGCGCTCGCTGGTTGGTCGGGAGGCGGGACATGCGGCCGAGCCTCCTCCCAGCTGTTCCAGGGCCAGCCAATCAGGACCATCTTCAGAGGCACTAGGGAGGCTCCGATTGGCCCCCTAGAGGCGGCAGCGCTCGCTGGTTGGTCGGGAGGCGGGACATGCGGCCAAGCCTCCTCCCAGCTGTTCCAGGGCCAGCCAATCAGGGCGAAGCCGGCCGACGGAGGGCGGGCGGGATTTTCAAACTGATTTTCCTTTGTTCTGACTGTATAAAATGCCTGTAAAACTCAGTAAAACCATGCTTATGGTGGAAATATCCCTGTAACGCATCCTTTTCAGCTGAATCGCAGAAATAAACGCTTCGGTCGCTGGCACCTCTTCAGCCTGGTGAGATTAATTTTTAATATTTTCGCGTCTTTGGATTGGCCTTTGCTGGCAGCTCACCAAGGTCAAGACCCCATTTGCGGTCTTCCGGGACCTCCCTTTTCTGGGGGGACCACCTAAAAGAGCTCGACATCATTTGGCGACCACGAAGGGACTCTGCTTGAGGTCCAGAACTAAATTATAGCCAAAATTTTCAAGCAGGTGCCTTGGACTGATCCTTTGGGCCAGCAGCAAAGGAGGAGCGGCTTGGGAAAAGAGGCGCCTCTCCTGATTCGGATCTTCATTTGACCAGCTAACCAAAACTACAAATTCTCCCGCAGCCACCTCCTCCCAAGCTCTGACCTGGAGTTTCAGCACAAAGGAGCGCCAGGGAAGCCTTGATCCAAGGACTTCCAGGAAGAGGAGCGACCGACGCGGAAGGGGAAAAGGGAAAACGTCCGGACGGGTAAGAAAAGCAACCGTGGGCTGCCCTGGTGGTCGTCAGGTGGGAGGAGATTCTAGGCTTTCCGAACCAGCTTCGGAGTCGGCCCACTGGGGAGGGATTCTCTAGATCTCGGTAACAAATTCCTGACTGGGGGTAGCGAACATCTAGGCGTTTGAGGCCCGGAATTGCAATTCAGCTCGCTTTTTGCGGACTTGGCAGGAGCTACGTGGGAAAGGGAGTCCTCCCCTTTTGGACTGCATAGCTGCCGAGTGCTGATCGCCCCGAGCTCTCCTATCCAGGGACTTTTCAGGTTCTGGCCTGCCTTACGGTTGGGGGGGCTTCCCTGATTAACCACTGGTTTGTGGGGCTGGTAGCTGAGAGATGGGCGTCTGTTCTTCCAGGATCAAACGTTCTGTCCCATCAGAAACACCTTTGGGAAGAATACTGGCGGAATGGAACGGGGTTGCGTCGCCGACGCAGGCCAGTATGGTAAAATATTGCATGAAGAAGTGGCCCGCCAGGCCCTTAGAAGGTGGAGTTTCGTGGCCCCCTCACGGCAGTCGGATCGCTGTGAGAGAGCCAAGTGGACCGAACTCGCCTATGCCTCATGCCTTTTTGCCTTGTGCCGGAAGGGGGGTGGAGGGAGGAGATTGTGCCCAACTTTGACCATGCAAAAG